GTAAATCAAGGACTTCTACTGGWCTTTCTTTACCTATTTCTGTACAGCCCAGCTTGCATGGTATACAGACACACCGAGAAGGCTGGTGATTAATATTTATAGAGAGAAGAAACAAATTTCTCAGTAACTCTTCCCAGTCTGACTGGTTAGTTAAAATCCCTGCAATAATGGAAATATGAGTTTTATCTTTTCAGAGATGAAAAGGAAAATTCTAGTTAACCTGGTGTTCAGTATAAATTGAGGTAGTTAGAAGAGGCTGATAATTGAYGGTAAGTTTTGTGGTTTATGATTCAACACGTTCTCTTGATTTGTATGGTAATTAGGAGCAACTACAAACTTTTAGGAGGAGAAAATAAAGCAAGTCAGGGTAAAATTAATGAAATGTTGGATGAATTAAAAGAGGAGAAAGATCAAGGAGGAGAGGTAACGAAGAGGCTATTGTATATGTGCTGAATTATTACTGTGAATATGGAAATAAAATATATCCCAAACAATACTTAGGATGAGAAAGTGCGGTGAATTAATTCTCCAGTCTTCTATTGGAAAATAAGTTCCTCCAGGGAGACAATCTTCTTAACATTTGTCCTTGAGCCTTGAGAGTTTAGCCCAGAGTTGGCAAGTTGTAATTAAAAAAAGTAAATGTCTATGGAATTAATTAATGAGTTTCCTTAAATGTCTGGATTCTAAGCCCACCACATAGAAGGGATGAGAGAACATAATAAAGATGGTCACACAGGATGCTGTAATCCAGTAACAGTGRTTTTGAGATCAGCTGTGGGGCTCCCAGGGTTGTTGGATTCATTCTTAGAACATATGGTTCTCATACTCTTCTCACCTGGGACCTTGAATGTTTCTGCATAGCTGAGGCTATGGATCAAGAGCTCTTTCTGGCACTACAGATGGTCAAGAAATATTGCACCCATGTAGGGCCTTTTTGATGTGCTCCTGGGGATAGACAAGGGAAGCCCAAAATTAATTTAATGCTCTTTCACACCTGAATCCAAAGTTTGTCTCATGCTAGAGGTTCTGCAAATTAGAGTGGCTGGGCTTCCTTCTGAGTCTCTCTGGGTGCCTAATTAGTGTCCATTGTCCACTTTTATTTTCTGAAATCAAAGGACAGATTTTTTTGAATATGCTAACATATGGACTTCTATATTTGGAGAATGGATATAAAAATGCCTACTAAAGAATAAGGACTTTATAGTGGTTTTAATATTATTTCAGGAACAAACAGTAGATGATATTTAAAGATATGGAGTGTCTCTTATACACCACACTGTGCATTCTGTCTTAGTCTCCCCTTTGTATCCAGGTGCAACTGAAAATTGAGTACCTGGAACAATGCCTGGCATAAATTTGATGCTCAATAAAAGCTGGTTGAACGATTGACTAAATGCTGCTTTTTCCCTCCTTCGMAGCTGGCTAACCTGGTAACCTTGGAAGACAGCTGGATAATCCTGGGCCACATGGGAGTCCAGATTCCTATTAAAAGTTACTGAAGACTGAGCATAGTATGGACAGATCATATTTTTCTAGAGAGCTCTTTCCTTCAACTCCTGAAAATTATACTGTGTTGGATTTTATGTTATGGCATGAAATCTACTCATCAAATGAGTCAGGTTTTTTTTTTAAAAAAACAAAAATGAAGGAAAGATATTTACAGAGAAAGAATGGAAGAGCTCTGTTAATAAAATACTGCTTGACAGAAAATGCACTCCTTTGTATGAGATAGGATTTTCAGGAAATAATTTCATTAAGCAATGGAACTTGTCAAAAACTTTAAGGAAATGATTCTTTCTTGGAAGAGTAAATAGGAAACAAAGAGGCCTAATAAGGAACATTTATACAAGTCTGTTGAATTAGAATACTTAGTTGTCATCTTAAATCAATTTCTATATTATGATGTATAGTGTTCTAGCAAACTCTGAGTCATCCATATGTGTTCCCCAAACCTTAAGTGCTGACCAGTGTATATCTTACGATGCTTTGCACTGTAAGATTAATCACAATTTATGGGATGTGTCCAAAAATGCAGACGTTTGATTTTTCTCCATTGTTTGTATTGTAATTTAACAGCGGTTTGTGTACGAGACTTTTGATTCCTTTCACACAGGGAAAATTCTTCGTGCTTCAATGTAAATTCTACCAAAGCCTCTTCAAGTTTGTCCTCCTCATCTTACACATCCTAATAGTGAGGGACAAGAACCCCAAGGTCAGAAAACAGCAGTGAGAAGAATGAAGGAATGTGTCTGAAAGGGGACCCTGTTAAGACATAACTGTCGCCAGAGAATCTGTCATTCCAACCAAACAACCTGGGGCAATTTGGTCCTGAACTTCCAGTGCCGTTGCCATGGTTTTTAGACAAAGACGACAGGCTGCATTCCAATTATATCCTTTGGAGTGACAGATAACTGAAAAATAGRAAATGGGGTAATAAAATCTCAGGTCACCCAGGAGAGGTGTGCTAGATACGGTGAGAAGTGAAATGTAAGTTTATGTTTGCCTCAAAAGCACCTCTGTGATTTAGAATGCAAATGCATCTTCTTCACACTCTCTAGACTCTCAATAGCAATTTTATCCATTATCCAGTTCACTATTCAAAGCCAGGTATCCCTTGCTTACTAGAAATTTTCCTATCATTTTAAATATAAGAAATTAATGAATTAAAAGAACTTAAGGAAAAGATATTTCTTGAACTGTTAAAAAGTATCCCTAGAATTCTGATGATATTGCAAATACACCAATGCCACATTTATTTTAAATTCCGGGATCAAATGCAGTACTGTGTTTTTCCAGTTGAAGGTAATATTGCAAACTTTGCATCCAACTGATATTTTGAGCAATGTCTGAAAATCAATAGTATTTTGCCAGGGTCAGTAGAAAGGTTGCTGCTGTGCTCTTAGATTATAATGAAGATACAAGTTGCTGTTCAATGAGAGTGATTAGGCAGTGATCAAGAGGTTAGCAGTGAACTTGAGAATGGTGTTGGTAGATAGGATGTGGGTGTCAGACAATTTCATGCTTTTGTAGTTTCTGCAATTAAGCAGAAACAGAGCATTGTAATCTCTAAGTGACACTAGGTAATTTGTTTCATCTTTACAATCTAAAAAATGTTTAACACTTTAAGTCTCAGTTTTTCATCTTCAAAATGGAACAATATCACCCATAACTTTTATAGCTTAATTTAAAATTTGATAATGCACATGAAGCTCAGCATCTGGCTTATACCATTAAGTAGATGTAGTAAATGCTATTTCTAGAAATATTACTGCTGTATTTCCTTCTGTTGTATGCACTGTAATAAGGTGTAGAACCATTGCTGTGACAGAGGAACCCAAAGACATTGGTAAGTTCAAAGGTTTAAAACAACGAGTCTATAAAAATGCATAAGAAGTACCTATCTTTATATGCAAAATTAGATGTGTTTGGGTGAAAAATGCACTAATAAGTGGTATTTCAAGGATTATCGTCAGCATTGTCTAAGGGAAAACTCCAGATGATATGAAGCCTGCAGGCATGCCTCTTGAGTCTCCTTTTGAGCGTATTTTATTTTGAGGGTAAGGACAACATAATTTTTCTGTTCATATATTAGATATAGTAGCTACAGTTTAATAAAAATTACTTTTAAGCTGGATGTGGTGGCACATGCCTGTAATCCCAAAGATTCAGGAGGCTGAGGCAGGAAGATCATAAGATTGAGRTCAGCCTCAATTGCTTAGTGAGAGCCTGTTTCAAAATAAAAGAAGTACTAGAGAGGGAACTCAGTGGGAAACTGCTCCTAGGTTCAATTCCTAGTATATACCTCATCAATCAATAAATAAGTAAATAATTAAAAATAACTTCTGTCCTTTGCTTTGAATATATACATTTAAATATTTCAAGCAGATTTTTATTTTGGGTACTGGGGATTGAACCCAGGGACATTTTACACTGAGCCACATCCCCAGCCCTTTAAMAGTTTTTAAATTTGAGACAGGATCTTGCTAAATTGCTGAGGCTTGAACTTGCCATCCTCCTGCCTCAACTCCCAAGTAGCTGGGATTACAGGCTGTGACACAGCACCCAGCTCTAGCTGGTTTTTGCATTTATTATATTCAGGATGCATTTTCTTTCTTCAGAAATAACTGGTGTGATTTTATAGTGGAAGTAATAGTCTAAAACCGATTTACTTAGGGCTGTCTGTACGATGTTACAAGAATCAATCTATACTTACATGTAAATAATGACTATGATAAAGGAAAAAAAGGAAAAAATGAGTTCTTAGATTGCTTTTTTWAAAAAAATCTTTTAACAGTTTAGAATATTTTTAACATAGTTTATGGTGCTTTGCTTAGCTGTTCTTCATATCCACAAACCCTGAAATTTGAGATCCTATCTAACGGCACATACATATACATATATATGCAGTGTTTACATATATTTATGTGATAAAGTGTATAATCTTACTGAGCATTGACAGTTAAAGTGAGTAGACTTTGAAAATTCCATATAAAAATAAATAAAAATCTTACTTATTTGGGACTTTTATAAAGAAGAGCTTCAATTTGTCATTTATATTTTTAAGTTTCTTTTTCGGTTAATGGAATTTTGGAATAACTAACTGGTTATGATAAAAATCTGAACTATTATTTCTTGGTCCAACTACAAAGGAGAAAAGCTCCAATAACTTGACTTCTTTCTCCTCAATGCATTTAATTTTTCTATTTTGTGTTCTACGGGCCTCAGCGCCAGTGGAGTCATAGGTCTGTTGGGACACAGTTTCCCATCTACAAATAGGAATTTGAATTTTTTTGTGTGTATGGCGAGGCTACAACACACTGACATGTCAGAAGGAAGTAGCCTCTCTCATTGGGAAGCTAGCTTGAAAAGGTGACAATGTGTAGTGTCACCTGTCATTAATGTCATCAAATCGTCCTACAACATAAGTCATAGAGTAATGATGTCATGGCAGAATTGTCAAAACTATGTAAACATGTTTGAAGAGGGTGGTGGCAGCTTACCTTAAAAGAGATTTCATACTGTTCTCCTCCCCAGATTTCTAAACCAGGATCATAGCCACCCAGTTCCCAAAACCATTTTCGATCCACAGCAAAGAGACCTCCAGCCATGACAGGAGACCTGTGAAATGAACAAAATAATCTTTAAAGGACTATGAACATCAGAGATAATGACATTTTATTTGAGGGGAAAAATACCAAACTTTGAGATATGGTTTAGTGGTCAAATGAACCATACCATTTTCTRTAAGTGGATATATGATTCTTTTGGGGCTACTTTTCTGTAGTGAGGGATTGAGGAAGAACCATTTTGAATATTAAACTTTGCATTTCAGGTTCTAATGAAACAAAGGCCCTGCAGAACTACATTTTCTCCATCTGTTAGTCTTTAGAAATATGTATGTGACTCACATTTTGCACTCAATGTTAGAGCTTTTTCTTTGAAAGAGGTCTCATGCTATCAGAGAATGGTGTTGACAATGTTGTTGACTTAATCCTTTAGGATGCATGCACTGAGCATCTACTGAGATCCTGTCTATAAACTGTAAAATGGTCAATCAAAATAGAATAACCAACCAGAATTATTTAATTAACAATATGAAACTGAAATTTAAACGAGATATTTTTTCACTTTATACAATTGTTTTTAGGCCTTCTTGCCTTTCTAAGAAATATCATTTTGACTACATGATAATTTTCAGGAATTCTACAATGTTAGGATGCATAATCATGTTGCTATTAATAAGATAATTATAATCACTGGATGTGCCCTGCTCTACTTGTTTCTTGGAGTTCAAAATTCTTGTTTTGTTTTCTTGAGTGCTACCTATGTGCTGGGTTGTAGGCTAAGGTCTTTACTTCATTCATTATCTTGATGAAAACCTGATAACAACACTGTGAATACCACCTCTATGGTTTGAAAAACAGGCCCAAGGCTGGAATTAGTGTGTGGTTAAGCCAGGCTGGACCTGRTCCTCTGATTTTAAAATCTTTGTGCTCTTCACCATGACACTGTAGGGGTCAAGAGAGACAACTCTGTACACATAGATATAGAATAATGTGAGAACACCATTAAATAGGCCAAGCAAACATAAAAACAAACATTTTTAGCACAGTCAATGTGACAGTTTTGAAAAATGTTTGAAACAGAATATTTATAAATGGCAATGCAAAGCATACAATTTTGATACATATTTAAAAATGTCTAGAAATGTGATAAGCACACCAATTTGCATTCTACCTGAGGCCTTACTCTTGGTAATGTTCTTTGAGGCACTTGTGCAACATAAACCTGAATTTAAGGAACTTTGCATGTTCAGATGGTACTTGATCTAATCACTTCAGTTTAGAAATATTTTTGTAGGTATAAATTATATGTAGACTGAAAGATTAAAAGTCTGGAAGGGAGACTTTTTTTTTTTACTCTAGAAAAGTGAGAAGAATGCAGAACATGTCATTTTTAATTTTGTTTGAATTTATAATTTAGAATCAGATATACCTTACGTTATCCCTCTCCCAGCAGCCTAATCGTTTCCATTTTACCGCGCACTGCATTTCCAAGTGGAATTACAACTGTAGCTGGAAAAAATTAGGACTGTAATGCTTATTGGGTGCAGCTCCCTGATGAATACATTTCAGTCACTGCAATCTTTGCTTCTGCAGGGATGGGGTATGAGACAGCAGATACTCACCAGTCCTATTCAYTTTGAACCACTCTCAGTCATACAAATATATTCTCATTTAATATATTCTCATATATTCTCATTTAAGGCCAAAGTGCATCAAAATTTACACTGCCCACAAAGGATCTTAAAACTATAAGCATGGTAGTGAGGGAGGGATCAGGAAAGAGAGAGTTCAGAATTGATTTTTTAATTGTGAACAATTTGTTGAAAACACAATAATCTTGTTTTCTTAACAAACTTATTTAAAAAGCCCATGTATTGTATTTTAGGTTGATGTAGACATGTAATGAGATAAATTCAAATGGATCCTGTTTACCTTGTGAATGTTTCTATCAAGCTCCCAATAAATTAAATTAATTTAACTTATTAATTTATTTACTTTAATAAATTAGCATGCCTTAGAAATACTTTTTACACATGTATAATTTTTTTTAAAATTTTTATTTGTTTTAATTAGTTATATATATAGTAGAGTGCATTTTGACACGTCATGCATAAATGGAGTATAACTTCTCATTCATCTGGTTGTACATGATGTAGAGTCACATKGTTCATGTAATCATATATGCACATAGGATAACYATGTCAGATTCATTCTACTATCTCTCCTGCCCTCATGCCCCCTCCACTCCCTTCACTCCCCTCTGTTTTGTCTAAAATACCTCTGTTCTTTCCCCCCACCTTATTGTGAATTAGCACACATATCAGAGAAAACATTTGGCCTTTGGTTCTTTGGGATTGTTTTTTTTTTTTTTTTTTTTTTTTTTTTTTTTTTTTTTTTTTTTTTTTTTTTTTTTTTTTTTTTTTTTTTTGCTTAGCATAAAGCCAATCCATTTACTGGCAAATGCCATAATTTCATTCTTATTTAAGACAAAGTAATATTCCATTGTGTAAATATACCACAGTTTCTTTATCCATTCATTTGTCGAAGGGCACGTAGGTTGGTTCTATAGTTCAGCTATTGTGACTTGAGCTATTAAAAATATTGATGTGGCTGCTTCACTGTAGTTTGCTGACTTTAAGTCCTTTAGGTATAAACCTAGAATTGGGATAGCTGGGTCAAATAGTGGTTACATTCCAAATTTTCTTAAGAATCTCCATACTGTTTTCCATAGTGGTTGCACCAATTTGCAGTCCTACCAGCAATGTATGATTTACTTATAAATTTTAAGAATGGCTTAATTGAAGCGTGGCAACATACAAGGGATTGCTCATATTTTAAGTGTACCATTTGGTAAGTTTTGACTTAYGTGTACTTTTGTAACCCCATCACCACTTTTGAGAAATGAACTCATCTACAATTTCCAAGAGTTTTCTCGTGCCTCTTTGCATTTATGCCCTTGGGTTCCTCTCTTCATTCTCCTCGCTGGGGAAGCTATTGATCTACTTTCTTCTACAAMTGATTGGTTTGCTTTTACTAGAGTTTTATATAAATGAGATCATGCAGGATGCATTTTCTTGGTGGGGAGAGGACTGGCTTCTTTCATTTAATATGATAATATTGAGATTTGTCTATGTTGTAGCATGTGTTAATAGTTCATTTTTTTTWAAAAAATTGTTGAGTGGTATTCTATTTGCATGAATACGCCACAGTTTGATGATTCATGAGTCTATTGATGAACTTGTAGGTTGATTCCAGTTCAGAGCTCTTACGAATAAAGCTGCTATGACCTATGTACACTCACTGTGTGGACATGTGTTTTCATTTCTCCTGGGGAAAATACCCAGGAGTGGAATGATTAGGTCATATGGTTGGTATAGGCACATGCTTAACCTTTTAAGAAACTGCAAACTGTTTTCCAAAATGACYTTACCTCCTTATCTTCTTCCAGCAATGTTTGTGTTCTGGTCACCATGTGTCCTCATTGATAATTAGGACTATCAATGTTTTGAAGTCTAGTCATTACAACAGTGTATGGTGGTATCTACTGTGGTTTTATTTTGCATTTCCATGATGGTTAATGATATTAGTGTGTCATCTCTCTTTTTTTCCTGACTCATCTAGCCACAGGTTTATCGATTTTATTGATCTACTTAAAAAACTGTTCCACTTCATTAATTTCTCTTTTTCATTCTTAATTTCTTTTTAGTATACAATTATCTTAATTTTTATGTTTATTTTAAATTTAATTTGTCTTCATTTTAGAGTTATTTAGGGTAGAAACTGAGATAACAGATTTGAGTCTTTTATTTTTTTCTGAGATAGGTATTTAGTACTGTAAATCTCCATTAACTACTACTTATCAGAACCCCACAACTGTTAGGTAATATTTCTATGTTTTTCTTTTTTGACTTACATGTTATATAGATGTGTTTAATTTGGTTTCCAAATATTTAGGAATTTTTGGATCTTTCTATTATTGATTTCTAATTTAATATCATTGTGGTCCAAGTGTGTACTTTGTATGAAACCTTTTTTCACCTTCTTGGGACTTTTTGATGACTCAGAATATGGTCTATTCTGGTAAATGTTCCAGGTGTATTTGAAAAGTTGTGAATTCTATTGGTGTTGGGCAGTGTGTTCTATAAATATTTATTAGATCCAGTTGTTTGATAGTATCATTTGAATCATGTGTATTTTTATTGATTTTCTTTCTCTTTTTCTCTATCAGTTATTGAGAGAGGAGTGTTGAAATCTCTGACTATAATTCTGAGTTTACTTATATTTTTATTGCTGTCTATGTTTTTTGCTTCATGTCTTTTGTAGCTCTGTGAACAGTGCAAAGATGTTTAGGGGTTTTTCTATTCTTAACCTCATCATAACTGTGAGGTGACTTACATCCTCCCTGGTAATCGTCTATACGCTATCATCTATTTTGTGTTATTGACATAGCCACTCCACCTTTCTTTAGATTTGTATCATCTAAATACTAGTATTTATAACTTTKTATTTATTTTTACTTTTTAATTATTTGTGTCTTTATACTTAAGTGGCTTTATTTAGATTCTTTGATTATTCATGTAGTTAGATTTAATTAAATCATCTTCCACTTTCTTTTCTGTTTTCCAACTGTGGTTTCTGTCTTCTTTTCTGATTATTTGAGGAAGCTTAGGAGAATAGCTTTCATTTCTCCTCCTCCAGCCTTTCTGATTAGCTATCACACATCTCACTTTCTCATATGTCGTAACCCTACATTATCTAGTGAATATTTTGAAGCAATTATCTTTTAAAAGTTTTAAAAATATTTAACAGAATGACCTGTTTTCAGTGTGCACTTTTATGTTCTGTGAGTTATCTGTAATATATATCCAGAATAAAGTGGAGTAAATTTGAAAAGGTTTAAACAATAAAATGTATTATGCAAAATATTGTGTATATATGAAATCATACTATGAGCATCATTTTCAGTATTGTGTTGAATTTTAGTAACTTTGGAGAAAATGCAACATTGGGATATTTCTTGTGCACCTGTGTTTGTTCACTGAAATTCATACT